ACATCACATCAATGGAGCTTACCTTCTTTGAGCTTCTTTTCTAAGTGACAAAAAAAGTTAGACGTTGTCTCCACCGTCTGTGAAAGCAAAGCGCTGCTGAGTTAGCTGTGGCCATCGGATTTCTGATGATTTATGCAGCGCCATTATGTTACTATTAGACAGACGTCTTCTGCCGCTGAGAGAAAACTATTGCGCATGTCCTGGAGCGCCGCGTGCGAGTGAAAGGTTGTGGGGGGGGAAACAGAAACACGTAATTGGCAAGTCACATTATTGGTTGGATTTTAATCGGTGCGTTTTGCATCCACTGAAAACAAAGATGTTAACAAATAAACTGGACAGTATGCTGCATGTTTAGTGATATTTTCACAGTTGCGGTCTCAACTGGTCTTGAAATAAAATGCCGAGTCCTCAGAGCCCGAGACCGAGACAAGACCGAGACCAAATGCGGTCGAGTCCTAGACGAGTCCGAGACCATCAAAAAATGGTCTCGAGACCAAGACCGATCTCGAGTACAACACTGCTCTCCTGGTGTTAATACGTTACTTTTTATTAACATAGACAATTCTCCTGGATCAGTTTGTCTACTCCTCTTTGTGTCTCTGTTTCGTCTCAAACCTCCAGTCGGTTTTAGCTGATGGCCGGTCAGACTGAGCCGGGTTCTGGTTCTGGTTCTGTTGGAGGTTTCTTCCTGTTAAAGGAGAGTTTTTCTTCTCCACTGTCGCCACATGCATGCTACGTTTGAGGAAATGTATGGTGCTAAATTGAGGCCATAAAGTTTGTTCAAAAGAAAAAGTAGAAATTGAAACTTAAAACCTAAGAAAATGTTCTTTTGTGTCAAGTTTTTTTTCCAGTTTCAAACTTTTTCAGTTTCAAAATAATTTTGCAGTTTCAATCTTTTCTTGAGTTATATTTATTTATTTATTTATTTATGTATTTATTTATTTATTTACATTTTGGCCCCAGCTTAGCTCCATAGAATGCTGTAAAGTCAATGGCTCCATGAAACCTTTCAAGTTAAACTGAATAGTAAACCATTGAAATGATTTTTTTTTTTTTTCTTTTAGATTGTTGTGAATTGGCGTTATGACCTGGACTGAATTGATGGATGAGTCTGTCCTGGAACAATCTGTGCCAAATGTCAAGCAGAATCTGAAGTTGGGTGTTTTGAAACTCAAAGCTTCAGTAAAGCTCGCCTCATTAATCTTTGGTGCTGGAAACAAAGCAGCAGCGCGTCACACAGCAGCAGAACTTCCTGCCTTGTTCTTTGTGTCTGCAGCTGCTGTCCAGCCTGGTTTCCTCGCATCCCAGCTGTATGAATCACATCACAGCAGGTCACACCTGAGACAGGTGACCACAGTCACCTACTGAGTCAGTCCTCCGGTCCGCAGCAGAGCGGGAAGACTCCAACTGCATCAGACTGCCGTCATCTGGTGGCTAAGACCTGTAATTACACCCAGATTCTTCTGAGAGGGGAATAAAACTCCGGACTCAGACAGGAGAATCGTTCAGACAGAACATTCACCTGACTGATCAATAAGAGAAGACAGAAAAACTTTAATGCAGAAGAAAATCACCCAGAGGTTGAGAACTCTGTGGTTCTGATCACCGTTTGGGCCGGCTGGTTGATGTTTATTGAGATAAAAATCAATCTGAACACCAGAAAGAGTTTTAAAAATGCTCCAAAAAGCTCCTGAATAAAACTTTGAACTTTTAAACAATAAAAAGGCGCAACAAGAACCCAAACTGTCAGAACCAGAACCAGCTCTGATTGGTTTGCTCTGCTGGATCAGAACAACTTGCTGAACTCAGTGGAGCCGACCTGCTCTTCACTGGGTTCCAGAATCACTGACCTTTGACCTTTCCTTTATCATCCAGGTGCTTCTGTTCCTCACAGGTCAAACAGTTGGGTTTGGCAGACCAAGTCCCGGCGCTGAGAAGAAACTGGGTCACAACCCAGAAACACAGAGCTGAGGTGGTTCTGGTTCAGGCTGCGGGTCAGAACCGAGTTATAGACGCAAACTCCAGGGGAGCAAAAGATAAGTTCCTCCTTACATCTGAATGTATTTTTAACTCAATAAATTAAATTTATCTACATCAATTTATTTATTTATTGTTGAATAAATATCATACTTCTCATATTTATATGCATTTACTGTCATTTTTAGCTGAATATTAAAGTAATGAGTCAAATATGAGTGCTGCTGCTACAGTCTGGTTCTGGACTTTTCTTGTGTTGGTTCTGGTTCAACTCATGGCTCCTGTTTTATTTTGATAATCTGTTTCTTGTGTTCTGATTACTTCCCGTTTTACTTTTAACTCCTGTTTTGTCCTGTTTCTGCATCAGTCCTTCCTCTGCTGACCCTTGACCCCTGCTCCCCTCCTACCAGTGGAAGCCACTCACCTGTTTCCAGTCCAGTAATCACCTCCCAGACTCCTCAGCACCTTGTCAGATCTTCCAATTAAGATCCATCACGCCAGTTTTTAAGCCATTTTATTTTTTCATTTAGTCGTTTTAAAAACTCTAAAGTCTTAAAAGAGAAAAACATAAAACAAAATACAATTAAAATAATTTTTAACTTGTCACTTTATTAGCTGAAATTGCTAGATTGTACAGCAGTAAAAACAGGAAGTGGTTATTGTGATCCGGTGAATTAAAAAAACAAAACGACACCAGACCTCAATGTCCCTGCGTTTCACTGAGCTGCAAATCGTTTCACCTCAGGGACTCTTTAACCCGTCTTTTGTATCACCATTTCTGGTTTATAAAAAAAGCTGCAATAAATAAAATAATGTTTAGCCTGGTGGCCCACCAGGCTTAAAATACACAAATCAGCTGGAAAACCAACAGCAATCACCTGGAGGAGGAATAAAACTCAATCAGAGCAGCTAGCCTGTCCTGTGATTTAGCTCCGGTCTTTTTATGATGTTTTTCTGCTGAAGGTTTGACCTGTAAGGTTCAGTAATGTGATAAATCCTTCAGAACCTGAACAGTTTGGACCTTTTTCTGGATGATGACTTACTGTGGGTTAAAAAGCAGAGTGGCCGCTGAGGCAGGAAATGGAGCTGGTGGACCCGTCTCTGACCGATAATCAAATCTGTTTTTCAGACGTGTCTAATGGAGCCACCGCTCACGTCACTGCCGACCGTTTCCCGTCACCTGCCTCTTCCACGACAGCTTCAATTACAGAGGAGAGACGGTGCTGCATAATGGATCCGTCACAGATGTCCACTGACTGACCAGAAGGGACAGAAAGGGGCAAAAGAGACGAACTGGAGCAACCAGAGTTTCTGTTACAAAGATCTGGTTAAGAACTGGTTCAGTAAGGTGAATGTTCTGTCTGAACGATTCTCCAGTCTGAGTCAGCAGCCAATCAGGCAAAATAAAAAAATAAATAAAACCTCCATGTTAAACCAGCCGACATCCAGAGAGACATTTAGGAATCAGTTCAAAACAAGGAATCAGTTCAAAACAAGGAATCAGTTCAAAATCACAACAGTCAGGTCCTTTTAGGATGTTGTAATCTGTTCAAATTCACAAATCAGTTCAGAGAATTTAATCCGTTTGGTGTCCAGAACCTTTTTAGAATCAGGAATCTGTTCAGTCCAGAATCTGTTCAATCGGGAATCTGTTCAGTGGAAGGAAACGAGCAGAAAACCTGAACTGAAACTGAAAATCTCCATCAGAAACCACAAAAACTTCCTGATCCAGAAAACTTGAAACTATCAGGTAATTCCGAGTCTTAATTAATTTAGAGTCCTAATCAGCCAATCTGGGTTAAATGCCTCTGCAGCCTCTGCAGCGCCCCCTCTGCTGATGATGCGCTCCTGCAACAACATCCATCACCTTCCTCCTCCTCCTCCTCACTGGTACCCAGAGCGACAAACCTCAGTGCATCACAGTGTTTGATTGTAGCCCGAGTCGTGCAGCTGTTCCGCTGCTCCAGAACTGGTGAACTGAACCAAACCGAACCGAACCGGGAGGAACCGGGCCACCGCGCCGGGATGGACCCCGAGCTGGAGCCGCGTTTCCTGCTGTGAAGAGCGGAGCAGGAGCCTGGAAAACCCCGGAGGGAAGCGGAGGAGGTGGCGGGGGGGATCCGGGGGACAGAGCCATGGCGACTGGCGGCGGCGGAGGCGGCGGCGGGGCGGCGCGCAGGCGGAGAGCCGGGATCCCCGGGTTCTGCTGGAAGACCTGCTGCTTCCCGCTCCTGCTCTGCGTGGTGTCGGTGTGCGGGGAGGAGAAGACCTTCATAGTGGAGGTAAGAGGAGGTTTTCTGAAGGCAGAGAACAACATCGGGAACTGAACTGATCCGGACTCAGAATCGGTTCAGCGCTTTGTTTTCTGACGCTCCAGCGTCAGTAACATCGTCACAAACTAGCAGCTTAATTGCTCATTAAGCCTGATTGTTTCCGCCTGTTTGGCAGCTTTAATAAGTCCTTCAGATCCTCTGCTCCCCCCTCCCCCGCCTGCTGCTGCTGCTTCTCTACATTCAGACACATGTTGACCAGAAACAGGCAGGTTAAAGTGAAGCTCCAGTCCAAATATAGCCTCTCCTCCATAATTCATGGATCTGCTCTGAGTCGAGGTGAATGGGGGAAACTGATGGAGATGTTGGTGATCTGGATCGGTGCTGCTGCTGCTGTTTTCCTGTTTTGTTGCTGGAGATGCTTTGATTGAGACAAAGAGAGCGCCCGTGGCAGCGCGGAGTGGAACAAAGGAGGAGATGTTTTCTCCACAGCAGTCTGAGACCAGAGGAGGCAGAGAGACTCAGCTCCACCGTGAAAACATCACAAAGTTAGAGAGGCAGCAAACTGTGGAGGGAAAAACTCCTGGATGATGGATTAGAAAATCCAAGTCCATCTTGTGTGTGTGTGTGTGTGTGTGTGTGTGTGTGTGTGTGTGTGTGTGTGTGTGGGGGGGGGGGGGGTCCCATAAGGGTCTCATCTGGGCTGGAGAGTGGGCCCAGTGGAGGAAATTAAATGGAAACTCTGCTCTCCAATGGGTCAGACTCAGACTGTTTCCACACCTGGTAGTCCGGTAGACTCGGTTCAAAACTGCAACATTTGTTCCATTTTCAGCTGCTGTGGTTCAGCTCCTCACTGCTCTGAGTCAAACGAAACGATTAAATAAATGTTCCCCTCACCTGTGGGGGCGCTGCACCAAGAAACACTGAGGGAAACAACTGAACAAGAAGACACTGAGCGCAACTTCCTTCACCAAATGGAGACAAAAATGTAGCGTCAGATTGAGGGGTGCACCGATTTATCGGTGGAGATTTCCTTAATTTAAGGGGATCGGTGATCGGTTGATACGTATGAGAAGCCGATCTTTTCCCTGATCTTATTTACTTCGGCAAACATCTTCTGCTCTTCCGTTAGAGAGGTTTAACCGACAGACTCACCCATCAGGTCATGTCTGCACTTTCGCAGTTATTAATAGTCACGCCACTGTTACCAGCTGAGCTACATTCTTGCTATATTTAGCAACATTTCAGACAAAAAATAAAATCGGAATCATAAGGTCAGGCTTTTTAAAGATCAGTAATTGGCGATCTGACAGGAAACAACAACCAGCTTAGCGGTTGGAGGATTTCTCTTTAGTTTTTGGCTAAAGACCACGAGTCACTTTTACAGTTAGCGCTAGGCTAACATGTTGGTTTCACTTCCTGCTTTTGGAGCGGTCTACTGTCCGCTTGGTGTTCACATTCAAATCGAACCAGAGTTCACTTCAACCGAACCCAGACCAAGGTCTGGTTCAGTTACGCATTCACAGCTCCCCAAACGAACCGGACTTTCTAGGCAAACACATTAAAACGGACTGAACAGGGACGGTGGAAACCAACCTTAAATCAGCACCACATACCACTGACTGGCATTTTAAAACTCATGCCTTTGTGTCTTGTTGCAGCTGCAGGAACGATGCAGAGACGAAACGCTCCAGGCTTCCAGCTCTTTAACTCATCCGGTCATATTTTCATTGTTTGTTATTCTGTTTGCACAACCTTTCCAAATATTCCTCTCTGGGTTTCGTTAGTCATAGTCCTACGTACTGCAGTGGAGGCTGTTTATTCATTGTATAGATCTATTTAAACCAGATTCTGAGGTTTTACTGATTTCCATGTTTCATGGAGATCAGACATTCCTGTCCTAATTTTAGCCTCTTTCTGAGAACTGTGAGGTTTTAAAATCAGTCTGAAAAACTCCGGTTCACTATTTAGTTATTTAGTAATTTATTAATATCAGATTCAAACACTTAATTCTGCCTGATTATAAAGTTAGGATTAATGTAGCTTAACTTTACTAATCTTATTTGAGTTTTATTTGTTCTATTTTATATCAACTTCATCTAGTTTAATCCATCCATCCATTTTCTTACACCCTTGTCGCTAGTGAGGGGTGCTGGTGCCGATCTCCAGTGAACATTTCAGGCGAGAGGCAGGGTCACCTGGACAGGTCACCTGGACAGGTCACCTGGACAGGTCACCTGGACAGGTCACACACACACCTAGGGAGAATTTAGAGAAACCAATTAACCTGACAGTCATGTTTTTGGACTGTGGGAGGAAGCCGGAGAACCTGGAGAGAACCCACCATGCACAGGGAGAACATGGAGACTCCATGCAGAAAGACCGGGAATCAAACCCAGGACCTTCTTGCTGCAAGGCAACAGCTCTACCAACTGTGCCACTGTGCAGCCCAATCTAGTATAATATTTGTCGTATATTAATTTATTATTGCATAGCTCGACTTTACTCCATTTGTTTTAGGTTTTTTTTTTTTTTTAGCTTACCTTAGTTTATCTTTGCTCAGTTTAACTGAGTTTTGTTTAGTTTGTTACTTGGTTGCTTGCACTAATTTAGCTTAGCTTAGATTGTTATTTTGGCTTAACTTATTTGAACCTTATTTATTTCAGCTCAGTTTAGATCAGATTTACTGATCTTAGCTTTGCTAAGTTTGCAGTAGCTTCACTTAATTTAAGGCTTAGCGTAGCTTCATTTGGGGGATCTTTGCTCAGATTAGCTTTTTTTGTTTAACTTGGGCCTGTATGATCTTAGTTTAGCTTCTTTTCTCTTAGCTTAGCTTAGCTCAGCTTAGTTTAGCAGAATACAGGTTCCTGTAGAGCAGGGGTGTCCGAATTCGGTCCTCAAGGGCCGGTATCCTGTATGTTTTAGTTCTCTCGATAATGGTAGTAACAACCTCCTCAGCAAGGCTTGGGCCTTCTGATGAGCCATCATTTGATGCAGGTGTGTAAAACCAGGGAGAAAACTAAAACATGCAGGATGCCGGCCCTCGAGGACCGACTTTGGACACCCCTGGTCTGGAGGATTTTCTTACTGACTGCTGCAGGGCTAACATGCTACGGGAAACATCCTGTCCCGTGTTTCTGTGAGGGTGACGTGGCAATAGAAAATGATGCCTAACTGCAGATTTCTGCTCCATAATGGAGGTAATGGGCTGAAAGTGTGTCTGAGCCCTACAAGCCGGTGTCAGGCGGGTTTCCTCCCTCCCAGGAGGGGAGGCTTCTGGGAAAGATGATGGTTGTAAACACAGCATTAGAGCTGAGAATGGGTTGGAAGTGGGCTGCTGCTGCTGCTGCTGTTTAGTGGGTGGGTGGGTGTGAATTCACGGCCACTTCCAGTCAACGCTGTCCTGATTAGTCATTGTTGGAGATAAATACACACATTTGTAACGTTTTCAGATTGACAGCTTTGTTGTCGCTCTTCCTCTCTCCAGCCATTGTCTTCGTCACGCCCACACTCGCTTCGCTTTGCTGCTCGCTCGGTGAAGCCGCAGCTGGAACTAACAGGAGCTGTCACTGTGGGTTTGATGATGGTTTTGTTCTGTCTGAAACCAGCCGAACCCGGACCGAGGAGACGGTCGCTATGGAAATATGAGTAAACGTCTGTAGAGCCATTAAAACGTCACATCCGATGTTTTCAACTAACGATTCAGTTCACAGCAGCAGAGTTTGTGTAGCGGTCCACAAAACCAGCTTTTATATTCCATTCCCCCTTATCGCCAAGCTAAATATTTAGCTATAAGTTAAACATTAACCTAAATATTTAGTTAGCAAGTTAAATATTGACCTAGCTTACTAAATATTTAGGTCTGAGCTAAAAGCTTGGTTTGGAAAATAAATATTTAATTTCAAAATTAAATGTTTAGTTGAGTAAACAACTAAACATTTAGTGTGTCATTATTTACATTAACAGGATTTTCATCAACGAGATTTTGATTTGCTACACCTCCGTCTTAGCTTGCAGATAAAAGCTATGCTAGCCAAGCTAATGTTGCTAGTAAATATCACAGATGTTTTTCTATGTATTATACAGAGGTGGGTAGAGTACTCAAATACTGTAACTGAGTAATAGTTGTAATGTACTTATGTTGTTTATCAGTTAGATAGGAACGAAGTGAGAGCTAGTTTAAGTTTGTGGGTTGTTTATTGTTGACATAGCAACTGCCTACCAAGATGGCTGTCTGTTTAAGATACATCGTTCTCATGTGTCGTCACATGAGAACGAAAAGGAAATCAAATGTTGAGGTAAAAGTTAATCTGAACTCTTCAAAGAGTTATTGTAGTTGGTGATGGCTGTTGGCAGGAAAGATCTCCTGTAGCAGTTGTTATTTAAATTGTTTGAATCAATTTAAATCAGACTCAAACAAATGGATTGTCAGAGTTGTCCATAGTTTTCTTGATTTTATGTAAAATGGAGGTTCCACAGAACAGAACCAGGCTTCATTACCAGTTTGTTGAGCCTTTTTAGGTTCCAGGACAGCTGGCTAGGACTTTTCTTCACCGCTAGCGCTAGCTAGCTCACATTTACAACCCGGAGAGGGAGGTGAGTGCTGATGGGAGACCTCCATACTCAACGAGTCTGGAGGTCTCCCAACTAGACATTTAGCTGGTGGATTAAATATTTAGTTCCAAAGTTAACATTTAATTTCCAAACTAAATATTTATTTTCCAAATTAATTATTAAGCCTGGTAGCTAAATGTTTAGCTAGCATCCTACCCCCTATGTAAATATTTAGGTTGTAACTAAATATTTTCACGTTATTCAAACGTTTCTAAAAAAAAATCACACTAAATATTTAGTTAGGAGCTAAACATTTAGCTTTCTAATGTAATATTTTTAAAGTTTTACTGTAAACCACATTATTTTTTATTTTTATTTTCTATTTTCGTGTGAATTTACTTGCTTTTATTGCCGCTGTGCGACAATAAAGGAACTTCTATTTCTGAAAACAAATACAGTAAAATATCTGTTGTCCTATTTTTTATTTGATGGATATGTTTTACATGTAGGAAAAAATATTTATCAAAAATAATACATTTTTGATCATAATACAAATGTTTCAAGCGTATTTGCAGGAAATGTGTTCATATTTTGCATTATTTTAATTAGTTTTAGCTTTAAATGACTGTTGTTCACATTAATCTGAACTGGACACTGAAAGCTCGTTTTGAGGTGGATCCACTAGAGGAAAGGTTTTAATGTGGCGCCGCTGCATGTGCAGCAGATGACATTTATCTCCGCGGCAGCGTGGAGCGGAGTGCAGATCTGAGCACAGCTCTAATTATAAACGAACAGCAGGCGGAGGAGCAGCGAACTCCTGAGAGCAGCGCAGGAGGATTAGATCTGATCGGAGGGGCTGCAGGAACAAGAAACCATTTCACACCAACACGGACATTTAATTATGAAGCTGCTATGGATCCTCCTGCTGTTTGTCTGAAGATCTGCTCACATCTTATCCAAACTACTAATTAAAATAGAAAAATACAAAACAATTTTTCTGTTGTTGGGTTTAGCAGCAGGATGTGGTGAGATCTAACTTCCTGTTCACAGAGAAGCCAAAATAAAGAACCATGAAGGGAAAGATGAATGTTGGCCATTGGTCCCAGTGAGTCCAGTTTAGACGTCACTGGATGTTGGACTGGTTTAAATGGTCTGCCAGGAATAATCTGAAGATGTTCTGATGCAGACCTGAGGTTGTTTTGAATCTTTGATGAGGTGGTGGCTTTAACGCTGGTTTATGACCCATGATGGATCGTGAAACGTTCAGATATTCCTGATGAGTTCTGGATGAAACTGCTGATCCTGATTTCTCTGCAGCTGAGCTGAGAATGAGGCCTGGATGATCAACTGAAGTTTGATGTAGCATCTCCATCTCACTTTACAAACAGTCTGAGAAACTCTGGTTCACTCCTGCTGCACTTTATTTAATCATTTGTTAATTTAAATCCACTCAAACATTTAATTCTGCCAAACTTTAAGGTTCGAATTAATTTAGCTTCATTTTGTTAATCCTATATTATTTGAGTTTTATTTATCCTATTTTATTAATTTTTCAGACACCTTGACCTAATTTAACATTTTAGTGTATATTTATTTATTATTGCTTAGTTTAGCTTTGTTTACCTTAGCTTTAGGTTTCCTTTGGTGACTTGCCTTAACTTAGCTTAGCTTAGTTTATATTATTTTAGTTTGTAGCTTATTTGAACCTTATTTGTTTTGTCTTAGTTTAGATAAGATTTGCTGGTCTAAGTTTAGCTTAGCGTCACATATATCTGATCTTAGATTAGCATAATTGAACTTGTCTGATTTTAGCTTATCTGAATGTGTAGATATAGTAAATCTTATCAATATTATTTATCATCAGGTGTGTTGGTCCAAAACAGCACAGCATCCAGATGTGAGCCAGCTGTGCTCCTCATTAAAGCCATGTAATAAACACGTCTCATATGATCCAGTTTAACAAAATGTAATTTATTCTCACATGTATGATGCCTTTATGACCTTTTATTTTTGTGTTTTATGATGTAAAGCACTTTGAACTGCCTTGTTGCTGAAATAACAAATAAACTGATTGACTGAAAGATCCACTTCAGAGCTCCTGCTCTGATTTGCTCATCGGTTCTGTTTCTGCCTGGTTCTGAAGGGATTCTGTGTCTCTCATTAATAAAGTGGGCAAACTGTTTGCCATAAAGGCCTGAGAGAGCAGGTTCTGGAGGTTTTTATTGAGATAGTGAGCTGATCATGTCCTCCGTGACCCGGTCCGTCTGACTGAGAGAACTCTGCTTCATCCAGACTGATTAATCGGATCTCGTCTGATCCCTGGAAGACAAAGTGCAGAAGTCCTGAAAGGAAGTGTCGGCGGCGGCCCGAGGATCTGCCCTGGGGGAGAATCCTGGGCAGCAGGCCGGCGCTCTGCGCGGCAGCAGGTCAGCTCCATTAATCAGCCACCACTCGGCTGTTTTCTGTCCTGATTGCTGCGATCGGATCGGGTTTTCCAGCTCGTTGCTCTGCTCTCCTGCTGCCACATTCAGAAATAGAAAATCATTTCTCATATTTTAAGACCTGGTCTCATCCAGAACCAGGCCGAAACGATAACAAAGGTTGCTGGAAGATAAATTGCCCCAGAAGTTATCAGGATAAACGATAATGTTTTGAGACCATTTTCTAGTAATATAACGGTAATGGCACATAACACATTCTCACAGACCAATAAACTTTAAATTCTGATTAACATTTAACACTGGAACTGGAAGACATTTTAATGTCCCAAAGAAATAAAACAACAAATGAATTATGAAGCCCCTGTAAAAAAAAAAAATAGTTCTTCAAAAGACCAGAACATCAGACTGAAACTTTTATCATTCAGTTTAAAAGAGAAATCCAATAAATTATGCAAATGGAAATTACTAAGCTTGTTTTAATTAATCATGCAGTTAAGATGCAACAGTACCGTTCAAACTGCAGAGGCTTTGAAAACTATCAAATCTGATTTAATTCCACATCTGGAAGTGAAACAGATCAGAGTTTTTTTGTGATCTTTTTGTGAAAATGTCAGAATCAGCTGTTAAAAAGTGCCGTTTGTTTCACATTCAGCTGCTGTTAGATCCATTAGATCAGTGTTTCTCCACCCTGGTCCTCAGGCCCCCCTGCTCTGCAGGTTTTAGATGAGCCTCTATTCCAGAACAGCTGATTCAAATGATTGCATGACCATCAAGTGCTGCAGAAGCCCGTTAATCACAATTCAGGTGTGTGGCAGAAGGGAAACACCTAAAACATGCAGGACAGGGGGCCTGAGGACCAGGGTGGAGAAACACTGCATTAGATTAAAGTGATTTGGTTTTTATCTCAGTTATTTGTGGGTTTAATCAGGTCAGAGACATAAATGTGATTAAAGCAAAGTTTAAAATCTGTTCATTAAAGCTCGTTTGCTGCTGCGCTAATGTGAGCCACAGATTTATTTCATCTGCGCGCTGCTGAATGTTTTCTTTCATTAAACTTTCCTATAAACATGATTATAGTAACAGAGATGCTGAAGATAAAAAAAACCTGATGAAACATTAATAACAAGAGTTTCATCAGGGAGAAATTAATGATAAAAACATGAAAATGCTGACAGTCTGTCTCAACAATGAGTTATGTAGAAATACTTGCATGTTTTTGACTTCTACTAAAATTACTACAAAATGTAAGTAAAATATTTAGATGTTTTCTCTTTGCAGTTTTTATTTATACAGATTATTTCCATATTTTTAGTTGCAGGATGTTTACATCTATATTTGTAGAGTTACGACCCCATCATGAACTTTTTCTGCTTCATAGTCTGTTTAAAGTAAAACTGTTGGGTTTTTTTTTAGCTGTGATAATAAACGTCGGGCTCACCTCGTATTGCTCGGTGCTGGAAACCTGAGGATGTTACTGGTTGGATGTGACTTTTAAAGAGAAAGAAAACAGGAAGACGCTCCATAACTGGAGCTATCTGTGGATTTAGGATCGATTTGTGGATCCATGAGAATCAGATTTACTCAGAAGGAAAAACTCTTCAGTCGGTTTCTGATCCGAGTTTCTGCAGCAGGAAGAAGATTTTATTGAGGTTTATGGAGATCATAAGAAATTAGTTTTTGTGCTTTGTAGTGACAGTTTCTCTCCAATTAGAAACATTTTTAATAAACCTGCTTGTTTCTCTTCAGACCAGGAAAGTTTTAACTGCTTGTTTCTGTCTCACATTATTTCTCAGCGATAGCGTCTCCGTCTACATGGAGCTCATCATTAAAGGGGCATTTTGTGTTTTCCAGGCACATAGTGACATTTTTTATCCAAATCAAGTATAAATTTTACCTTCCCTTGCTTTAAAAATGCTGCATATATAAAATATGACTTTGAAATGTGACTTTGTATTTAACGCTGTTTGGGCCTCTGTCTCCTTAAAAACGTGTTTGGGTTTTTCCAAACATGTTTCTGTCCATCATGGTCCAACTTGTCTGCTTGCTGGACGTCCATTAATGTCTCTGGCTTTCTGATGGTTCGTAGTTGACCTTTGAACCCTTCCCTGACGTTTCCCCTCCTTCCTGTCGTGTCTCCCAGACGTGGCTGAAGAACTACGGCTACCTGCTGCCTCATGACGTCAGGACGTCGGACCTGCGGCAGGAGAAGGCCATGCAGTCCGCCGTGGCGGCCATGCAGCGTTTCTACGGGATCCCGGTGACGGGAATCCTGGACGAAACGACCGTAAAGTGAGTCACGCTGCGTTTCCATGACAAATGGGATCAAATCTTTGTCTATATTCCGCTAATGTAAAAAAATTAAAATAAAAAAAAATTCGCAATTGCGTTTTTTCCATTAAATAAGGAATTAGATAAAAATGATGCGTGAATGAGATAATTAAAAATCAAGGCAGAGAGGATGTAAATGTGAAATATATTCATAATTCAGCCAATCAAACGAGACTTCCTCTGATTCAACTTTTTATGAGCTGTGATGCTCAGCGGGCTCTGGTGGAGCCAGCTGCACATTGTGCAAAAAATAAAAAAGCTACAAATCACGAAGAAGAGGACAGGAAGTAGTCTTCTTCATGGTTTCCGCCAGTAGTAACCATAGACAGTAACATGCTGATGTTGATCATGTGACTCGTGTGACGCCTTTAGAAGAACATTATCCCTGTGCAAAAAACTTTTTATAGAAAAACTTTTGTTTTTTTTTTTTTGTTTTGTTTTGTTTTAATTGGCGTGGTTCCATTAAGTGAATTTATTCTTGTAATTTAAGTTTGGGCAGTTCTGTGGTTCCTGGAAGCAGCTACTGTTGTTGCTGAGTCAGATTTTATTGAAATATTCTGTCCTGTCGTCATGTCCCGTCCCGCGCTGAGCCAAAGCTGCTCCTTGTGTCCAGGTGGATGCGGCGGCCTCGCTGCGGCGTTCCCGACCATCCTCACACCAGCCGGCGTCAGAGGAACAAGCGCTACGCACTGACGGGGCAGAAATGGAGGGAGAAGAGGATCACCTACAGGTAGCGCAATAAGCAATCAATCAATTCATCCCATGATCAATTAAAACGAGTTCAATCATTAAAAAATGTAAAAACTGGATGACAAAAGTCTTCAGTCTGGTGCTTTGGCCTCAACTAAACATTTTATTGAAAACCAATTTTGTTTACAGAGACTTTATAATTCATTTTATTTGTTGTTTTATTTATTTAAAATGTCTTCCAGCTCCAGTTTTAAATGTTCATTAGAATTTAAGAGAATGTTTTAATATTTTATTACTTCCAAATGGTCTCAAAACAACATTGTTTATCACAATTTTTCGTCCAACAAAATTTGTTATTGTGACAATAACAATAACAATTCATTATTGTTATTGTGCTGTTAACCAGAGTGTCCCACGGTACCCTGAATGCACCATTTTCTCTGCTGCTGGTTCTCTCTCTCTTTTATTGGACCGCATCAATCCCACTCCGCCTCGCACGCACCATCCCACTCAGAGCTCCATCGGGTTAATGTAAATTACCGCCTCCCTGCGGGACACTGAAGGCATCCCGGCGGCGCTACCTCCCACTCTGCAGAGTCAGCTCCGGTTACTGGCTACTCTGGGTCTCCTCCTCCTGTTTCACCTCCCGTCAGTCCAGACGGGCCTGCAGGCTCCGATCATTTCAAATCTGATTGCTCATCTTCTGAGGCACCGAAGCCCCGTCTCTTTAAACGACGCTCCTTATGAGGCGTTTGGTGACAGTTTGGAGGAGGCTGGCTGCATCGGATCGTTTAGCATACATGAAGTATTTATTCCCACCTGCTGAGTTTTGTTCCAGTTTCTCCTTCATCCGCCGACTCCCGTGGGAGTGTTTCGGTGCTTGTTCGTCTTGGCGGAGCTGCAGCTGTGAGTTCACCCAGCGACGTTCCTGTAAATCCCTCTTCATGTTCTGGGAAGTCTGAGAGCAGAAAGCAAAACACACAAACGGAAACGAAACGACAGAAAACGTTTCCAGTTGACAACAGAGGCTGAGCGTATGGAGGACCAAAACTGACATGATTTAAAATAAAAGCAGAAATATATATAATTAGTTTTTCCTTTTCTTTATACTTGCGTTTTTGTAAAAAAAAAAAGTGTATATAGAAATATAAACATATAAAAAGTTGACTGTCCATCCCAATGGACATCAAGAGTATATGAGCCAACGTTTAATTATTTGGTGTTAACATGCGAGAAAAAATGTATCTGTAGCATTTTGCAGCTTATTTGTGGTTTCACAGGTCATTTATTTTATTTTATTGTTTTATTTTTATGTTTTTTATGAGCATAAATGCTGACTGTTGAACTGCTTGCAAAAGAAAATGTTTTTTTTTTGTATTTTAGTGTTGAAGTGGAGTAAAAATTTATTTTATTTTTTTTTTGCTGCATTGATAAAAATCAGGTCTGAAGGGGTTAATTAGATTTACAAGGTTCTGATTGTTTAATTTGGATTTTCATCTAAAACATCAACAGAAATCTGCTCAGCTTCTTTGCCGGACCTTTTCCTGCAGCGTCCTTCCTCTTCCTCTCTTCCTTTCTCTGCCCTCCATTCCTCCATCCGTCTCCTCCAGCCGTTTTCCATTGAGTTTCTCCAGATCTGCCGGTGAGACGAGCGATAAAAGCGAATAAAAATGGACGGCACGTTTCCTCTCCTGCAATTACTCTGCAACGACCTTTCTGCCTCGTTTATCTGCAGCTGCGCGCATCAGGCTGCACATTAACCGAGCTGCAGCCTCAGATGGAAACATCAGCAGATCAGAAAGAAATTATTCAACTCAAAAACACAGATTGGGATCATAATTGTACCGTCTGCACAGCGGTGGAGCCGAAGCGCTTCAGTTATCTGTTCTGCAGAGTTCTGGCCAAGCATTTCTTTTCTGCTTAAATAGCTTGTATCAATTTTCCAAAACTGCTTATCTTTTTTCTAAGAGGATAAAAATAACGGTCATTCATTTAAACTGGTTACAAATTAGAGGTTTGCAGTTTTGGGGAGGAAATAAAAACAGACAAGTTTATCATTTTATTTTATTTAATAATTTTTTAAGAGAGTAAAAATAGATAAGTAGATAGATAAACATTTTTATTCACACGTTGGTGTTTTTTCTTTCTTTTAGTATTTGTGGAATTTACTATATTTTTCTGTCTGATACATTTTGATTTAATGTGATATTTTTATGTAATTTATTTTTATTTAAATGTTTAATTTTTTAAACTTTTTATTTTATTTTTATCTAAATATTAATTTTTGTTTCATTTTAAGTTTTTATTATAATTTTTATTTTTTAATTTTGCTAATTAAACTTTGAGCTGATAACTGTTAATTTGAGCTTCCTGTGCTCTGATTGGTCCGTTTCCAGGCTGAAGTGACTCCTGTCAGAAAAATACTAAAATAATTTCCTCTGCTCCCCAGAATATCAAACTACACCCCCAAGGTGGGGGAGAAGGACACGCACCGAGCGATCCGCCAAGCCTTCAACGTGTGGCAGGCTGTCACTCCGCTCTCCTTCCAGGTCAGAAACCAGCAGCTTCTCCTGATCTTCTTCCATCGTTATGAAGATCATTTTAATACATTTAATGTCGAGTTTCTCATCCAATCAGGAGGTCCCAAACTCAGACGTGGAGAGCGACGGGAAAGACGCCGACATCATCATCTTCTTCGCCTCTGGTTTCCATGGCGACAGCTCTCCATTTGACGGCGAAGGGGGATTCCTGGCCCACGCCTACTTCCCAGGCGCCGGCATTGGAGGAGACACCCACTTCGACTCTGACGAGCCGTGGACGCTGGGAAACGCCAACCATGATGGTGAGAGCCGCCGCCCGGGGTCACAGAGGTCAAACCGGCCGTCAGAATCTAATACCTGGTTTTTAATAGTTTATTTGAACTGCTTTACATCTGGGAGTCATTTAGTATTTAATTTAAATTAGTTTTTGGTTTATTTTAATTTTTATTCTATTTTTATTAAAATGTTCAGTTTGATTTTTGTTTTGTTTTTATATTTTATTTATTTTAATTTAAATGCTTAATTTCTTTTTGTTTTATTTTAGTTCTTTATTCATTTTTATGTAAATGTTTCATATAAACTACATTTTTATTTTTATTTTAATTGTTTATTTACTTATTGAAACAGTATTGAATTGAAATGTTCACACTGGTTCTGATCAGTTTATTATTGGATCACCTGATTGATTTTTTTCCCTCTCAAATCCTGTGGAAGCAGCAAAGTGTTCATGTCTTTTGAACATTTGAGGTTAGAATTTCATTATTTTTAATCCACTTCTTCTTCAGGTTTAAGGAAAACCTTCACAAAAACAAAGTTTACAGTTTAAGGTGGCAGCAAATGAAATGCAACAAACCAAAACTTTCTGAGTTTCCTTCCTCCTGAAGTGTTTGAGACACATTTAAATGTGTTTCTGCTTTCCATAAAAGCTCTTCATCCTGCAATGCTCTGTCTGTCTCTATCAAACACACACACACACGCAGACACGCACACACCTAGACACTCGTGCGTGGTGTAATTGAAAGATTAGCGAGCAGATAGCGCAGGGTGATTCATGCTATCCGCTTCGGAAGGACAAATGGGACACATTGTTCACTTTGGATTAAAACTTCATGTTCCCACCTGAGTCTGGTGACGGTTCGTTATTAACCTGCAGGACAAAACTGAGGGCAAAGCAACCCACAGGAACTAGAACCACAGGAACCAGAAGCGCTCTCTTCATGGAGGGACTCATCCCTTCCCTGGTTTGTAGAAACAAATAGAAATTCATTAGAGGTGCTTACTTTATGCAACCATCAACAAAGACGGTTTAAATTTATTTATTTCATTTAATTGATTTGGTAGATATATTGCACATTTACTGAAAACGTGCCAGAATTAACCAAAAAACTATTTTTCATCTGTTGTCACTTGACAATGCTCAGTTTATCCTGCTTAAACAAAATAAAGGTTATATAAATAAGGTTAAAATGATTTCACTACACAAATTGTATCAATAGGTACAAAAATTAAATCAATACAAAACAAAATCAGGAAACTACAACACAATTATCATAGAAAATGAAAACTAAATAATTTTCTGTCAATAATGAGATTTGATCAGCATGTTCAAACATTTAAAAAAATGACATGAAATCTTGTTTGATCCCATCAAATTAATGGATAGAAAACAATAAAATAAAAATGTTCATGAATTAAAAAATGTTTAGGATTAAAACTGTTTAAACTTTACCTTTTATAACATAAAGATACCTAATTTTTAAAGTGCAATCAGTAATACTTTTATAACAAATTTATATCAGTAATGATTTCCTGGTTAATGTCAAGTTGTCATAACAAAGACATTTTGAATAATGTCAACTTTGTATTAAAAGTGTCATAATTTACCGAATGACGCTTTATGACAACAGTCATAAATATTCATGAAGGCTTATTCATGTTCATGACAGGTGTTATGTCAGTATCATGTCAGTCTTATTCACCCCCTTCAAATAAAGTGTTACCATTTTGTAAAACCACAACCTTCACTTTTAGATTGTTGTGTTGCCGTAGTTACGACCTGATGCTTCGGTTTGATCATGAATGTAAATTGGCGCTATGTAAATAAAACTGAATAGAACTAAAAGTAAAATGCAGGCTTCAGACAACAGGAAGTGATGCGTTCAAAGGTCTGAGCAGAGCAGAAAGTCGGAGTCCAGGGAGCTGGAGGAGGCTGTAATCTTCAAACGCATCAAGAAGAGCAGAGAATTATGGGCTGTAATTAGGTTCAGGCAGAGTCGAACCAATTAGAGAGCTCATGAAGTGTTTGAGTCTCAGCTCCTCCATCAGACGGCTGGAAGTTATTAATTATCTGACAGCAGCTCAGAGTCCAGATTATCTAATCCCACATGGGTTCAGAACGGGCCGGGCCTCCGTTCTCCTTCAGAACCAGCAGGACAGGAAGGAAAGAGGCTTCAGATGGAAAATTATCCACCTCTTTACTGTAGTAACACATCAGGATTAAATGCAGCATTTTCTCAGATCTTAAAACCTACAGTGATGCGTACAGCATGCAGGAGAAGGAGGATTATGCAACATTAGCAATTATATCTGATCCATCTTTAAAAATAAAACACAGTCCAAGAGGTTAAAGTCCTTGTCAAATGGCGTTTTGACTAAAGTCCGAGAGGTTAGAGTCCTTGTCAAACGGCGTTTTGACTAAAGTCCGAGAGGTTAGAGAGGTTAGAGTCCTCCTCAAACGGCGTTTTGACTAAAATCCGAGAGGTTAGAGAGGTTAGAGTCCTCCTCAAACGGCGTTTTGACTAAAGTCCGAGAGTTTAGAGAGGTTA